GGTCCAAATCTGTTTTGATACTTGTGCACATGTGCACACTTCTTGCCATTTGTCATACCAAATGGATAGATTGCTTTCTGTATCCCTCAGGGAATAGTACTGCGATGCACAGCAGGCTACTATAATGCTAAAAGTACAGATTTACAGTAGCAAAGTAAGGGATGGGTCTGCTAGACCCAGGCTTATGCCTCAGTTAACCCATTTGTGGATTTTCAAAACTATTTCCTGTGCAGTTGAGGTTCTGTCCAGAAAGTCCTTGCCAGCTGGGCATGGTGGTGCATGCCTGTAATCCCAGCATTCAGGAGGCTGAGGCAGGAGGATCATTGCAAGTTCAAGACCAGCCTGCACTACAAAGTGAGCTCAAGGCCAGTTTGAACTGCATAGTGAGACCCTCTCTCAAAACAAAACAAAACAAAACAAAACAGAATGTCCTTGCCTATGCCTATGACTTCAAGAGTTTTACTGATCTTGTCTTCCAGCAGGTTAAATATTTCTCTTTTAATATTTAGATCTTTGATCCATTTTTATTTTAGTTTACTACATGGTGAACAACATAGGTCTAGATTAAATCTTCTGCTTGTGGATAGCCAGTTTTCCCACCATTATTTGCTAAAGAGGCTATCCTTTCCCCAGCATTGTTTTTAGCCCCTTTGTCAAAAATCAGGTGATTGTCCAGTGTTGTTTCTGCATTATCTATTCTTTTCCATCGATCTACATATCTATTTTTGTGCCAGTGCCATGCTGTTTTTATCACTGTAGCTTTGTGGTATAATTGGAAATCCGGGATTGTGATGCCCCTTGCTTTGCTGTTGTTACCAAGGATTGTTTTTACTTTACTATTATGGGTCTCTTTCTGGTTCTGTATGAATTTTAGGATTGTTTCTCCAGTTCTATGAAGAATACTTTTGGTATTTTACATTAAATCTTATGTATCAGTTTTAGAAGTATGGCCATTTTGACAGTGTTGGTTCTGCCTATTCAGGAGTAGGGGATATCTTTCCATTTTTTGATATCCTCTTCAATCTCCTTTTACAGAGTACTATAGTTTTTATTGTAGAGATCTTTCATTCCCTTGGTTAATGCTTAGTTCCTAGTATTTAATTTTTCTTGATGCTATTGTGAATGGTATTATTTTCTCAATTTCTTTCTCAATGAGTTCAGATTGGTATACAGGAATACTACTGATTTTTGTGTGTTGATTTTGTATGCTGCAGCCAAAATTTAGAAACACAAGAAGATAATAAAAAACATCCATATACCCCACCAGTTAGATAACCATGATTAACATTACGGTGCATTTCTTCCTGAGTTTTTCCTCAGCTTTGGTACCCAGGTAAGTATGTGCATCCCCCTGTTATTGAGCTGCGGCACTCACTGTCTGCTTTTCATGCACAGTCTCTCATTTACCCCTGAAGAACAAGCTGGCAAGGAGGAGATCACATTCACATTTTACAGATGAGGAAAAAGAGGCCTGAAAAATTTAAGCAGGTACACAACGTGCTCAGATTTTAATTTTTGAAAGCTCACCCTGAGGACCTAGTACAGGATGGCCTGGAGACTGGGCGAGGAACAGTTGGCTGGAGGGATCATCTCCAGGGCACCAAAGCCTGAGCGGGGCCTCAGGGCTGTCCTGCTCCTCCCTCTCAGGGACCTATTGTTTTCAATGGAAGAGACTGAGCTATTGGAAAGAAACCAGAAATAATACAGGTCCACAGCCTCTGAATGTACACACGTACGTGTGTGTGTGTGTGTGTGTGTGTGTGTGTGAGAGAGAGAGAGAGAGAGAGAGAGAGAGAGAGATTTTTTTTCGACCTTGAGGGTAAGTTACATACATTTTAGCCCTTTATTCCTTACTTTAAAATTTCCTTTAAAAAGGAATGTTCATTACATAACCTCAACTTCAATAAATGTAATATTACACTGATACTTTCATCAAATTTACTGTTGTTTGTCCCGTATGTCAGATAATGGCCATTCCAGTGTGCTTTACCCCCATTATGGGATCCATTCTACTGTGTTTTGTTTGTTTTTTTGTTTTTCTTCCAGTACCAGGAATCGAACTCACGACCTTGCACTTGCCAGGCAGGCACTGTGCCACTGAGCTAAATCCCCAGCCTCTTCCATTGTACTGTGAGGTGTCTAATCACTTTCCCCCAGGGGAAAAGTCCAAGTTAGGCAGAGGGGAGCCCAGGACCACTTCCTCTGATCACAAGCTCCTAGAACACATACCTGAGCCCCTCTGTGCCAGGGGCTTGGGGTGGCTGCATCTCCTAGTTTGCCCACGGTGGCCTGGGAAGCCCTATGTCCATTGCCACGGCAGCTCCTCACTTTATAGCCTTGTGAAGCAAGGTCAAGGACCACCACTGTGGCTTTGCTCAGTCACAATTGGTGTAGTCCCAGAGATGTCACGGAAAAGTGCAGTGGCCACCAGGGGTGTAGCTCAGTGGAGCACATGCTTAACATGCACAAGGCCCTGATTTTGATGCCCAGCATAAAAAAGAAGATGTGCTGCTTTGCACAGTCAGCAAGGTGAGAAAGGAGAGGAAGCAGAGTTCCCTGAACCTACTCTGCTCTTGAAAGTTCCTTTGTAAAAAGTCCTGAGACTACTGATTCTGCAAGGTCAAGAACCATGTCTTCATTCACCTTACAAGCAGCACCTTAAATAAGGCCTGTCCCTTGGATGCCTCGTGAATATTTGCTGCATGGATGGATGTGGGCCAGTCCTCTTCTCAGCTGACTTCTACTTAACAGAGAAGGAGGTCTGGGAGCCTCCCAGCGGGTGGCTCAAGTACCTGAGGGTGGGCAGTGGGTGTGGGCAATGGCTACACTGGCAAACAGAAGGCCTGAGCCTGGTCATTGTTCTACCAAGGCTATGTGGAGTGATGTGCAGAAGGAATGGTTGGTTTCACCAATCCCAGGCTTCTAGTGTGCATGTTCCTTGACCCCGGGAAATCCAAGTCTATGAGTGTCATTGGAAATCAGTTCAAGACCGTGTGGCAGGAGCCACAGGACCTGAGTATCCCTATTGAAACCTGTACAGGAATTCTCAGTAGGAAAGGGAGGGAGATGCCCTGGTTTTTAACTGAGCTACAGTGCACATACCATGAGATTAACCTTTTCAAAGTGTACTAGGTGGTGGATATTACTGTATTCACAAAGCTGTGTGACTGTCATCACTACTCAATTTCAAAATAATTCCATCACTCCAAAAGGAAACTCCATACTTATTAGCAGTCACTCCCCATCATCCCCTAACCCCAGCCTAGGCAGCCGCTAATCTGCCTTCTGTCTCCATGAATTTATCTACACCCGATTTTCATATGCGTCAATCAGGACTCTGCATACCAGGTACTAGGCGATGGGTTGATTTGCTCAAGCACTGAAACTACGTCTGTACATAGTCCAGGTAGAATGACAGTACCTGGCTCTTCGTTGTTGTTTAGACAGGGTCTCACTGTGTTGCCTCAGGCTGGCCTCAAACTCCAGGGTTCAAGTGATGGAGGGCTCAGCTTCTGCCAGGGGCTGCAGACAGGTGCCCACCACAGTACCCAGCTACTAGGTGGCTCTTTTTTTTAAGTGTTTATTTTATTTTTTTAAAACAGAGAACTCAGATTTAATTCCATACCATTCCCTTCACATATTTCAGATTTTCTTTCACAAATCCGGTGTCAGCCTGGTTAGGTAGAGTCATTTGATTCATTAAATGTTAGGGAAAGATTTAAGCATGTAGAATAATTTCTGCTGAAAGGTTGCCCCACAAGCTATTGGACATTTATGTTATGAAGGTTATGATCAAATTATGGTTCGAGATTTATTTACTTATCATTTTCATTCAGCAGACTTCCATTACGCACACCAGCAAGGCCTTCACATACACTGCCGCCTGCGTTTACGTGCGCCATGGAGCAAGCCGTGTATTGTCTGAGCATTGTGCTACTTTATTTTGTGTTCCCGGAGCTGCATCTTTTTTTATTAGTACATGTTTGCAGTACCTTCTATATTAAAGTAAAATAGAGGTCAGAACAGGAAAATAATGTCACAAGAACTAATATTTAAATATTAATCCACGCTTTGCCAATAACTACATTATTCTATTCCATGCAGCTAGTATGTTAATGTATAATGTTAAATTTTCCCCCATACTAACATTTCTTACCTTTCCTCTTTATCATGACTAAATCATTTCTACACTTTGTATACTATATGGCTTTTTACATCTGCTTCTTTTTTAAACTGTATCCTATTATTTATTTATTTATTTACTTTTGGTACCGGGACTCAAACTCAGGACCTTGCACTTTGTCGAGCAGGGCGCTGTGCCGCTGAGCGATGTCCCTGGCCGTCTGCTTCTTTCACTTAGCGTGATGCTCTCAAGGTCGTTCATGTTGTAGCTTGTCATCGGTACTTTAATCCTTTTTCTGGCTGGGGAATGCCCCACAGCATGAGTGCGCTACATGTTATATAACCATTCACCACTTGCTGGGCAGTGGGGCTGTTTTCACCATTGAGCTGTTGTAAATAAGAACTATGGCCATCCGTGCACAGTGTTTCTGGAGATCGATGACTCCCTCTTTCCTGGGTGTACACCTCGGGTGGAATTGCTGGCCCTGTGGCAGCTCTGTTTCATCTTCCGAGGAACTGGCAAGCTGTTTCCCGAGGGCTGCACCTTGGTGCATCCCCGCACTCAGCACCCTCATTACATCGCCCACCTCCCGTAGGCTGGGCGCTCTGTCGACCTTCGCCCCTCAGCTCCTGTGATCTTCACACCAGCCTGAGGAATACCTATTGCTTCCTCCCCTTTCCGAGGAGCACATGAGGCTCAGAGAAGGGAAGACTCCCCCGCCTCCACCCAGGATCACATGAGGAAGGGCGAAGCCTGGATTCACACCCAGCTCTGTCCTTTAGATTGTCTTGGTTCCTCGGTGACTGCCGACTAACTGACCGCTTGATGCTACAGTCGCATTAGTCTTCTCTCCAACTCTCTGGGCTCTGTTTTGCAGACAGGAAAGTTGGACCCCCACTACCCCAAGGTCTGCGGGCACAGAGGGAACATCCTAGACATCAAGTGGAACCCTTTTAATGACTTCGAGATCGCCTCCTGCTCTGAAGATGCCACGGTGAGTGTCAGCTGGGCATGCGTCTGTGGCCTAGGGGGTGGGCAGTGTCTGTATTCCCCTTGGGGTGCCCCCGACTGCTTTACCACTGAAGTGAGGTTACTGTGTAAAAGGCAGAAGAGAGCCTGAGGAGAAGTTTGGGGCTTGGGGCGGCCCCTCCTCTTTCAGGGCCTCAGTTTTCCCCACCTATAACGTGAGCCCTGCAGCTCCAGCCCATCTCATGGAGACCCAATGAGATTTGTGCTGCAGCGGGAGAGCCCGACTCTGGAGAAACTGTAAAATGCTGTGAGGGAAATCATTTTTTAGGGTTTTTTTTTTGTTTTTTTATGGGTTTTTTTGGTACAGGAAATCAAACTCAGGACCTTGTGCTTGCCAGGCAGGTGCTTGTGCCACTGAGCTATATCCTTGGCCCTAGGGCCATCTTTATTGTGGTCAGAATCTACTAAATCTCACAGGCAGCAGGAAGGTGAGCCATGAATGGATGGGAATGGGAATTGTGTGCATATAGTCCCCAAAACTGTCCCAAAGGTCCCTCCTACCAACCTTTTAAGGATAGGGTTTTGCTATGTTGCCCAGGATGGCCTCAAGCAGTCCTCCTGCCTCAGCCTCTGAAGTAACTGGGACTATAGGTGTACCCCAGTACATCCACCTCCCATCAAATTTATTGAGCTCCTGTTCTGTACCGGGGACATAGTTCCTGTCCCCACAGTGTTCAGTATTAACTTACTTATAGTTCATTCTGTGTAACTTATTCATTCTACTTCTAAAATATAGTGGTTGTGGCTTAAAATAAAACACATAGAGGTGATCAGCTAATTAAAATAAAGATGAAGGTCATAGGGGCCACTCCTGTAGTCCCATGGTATTCTTTTTTTGAGACAAGTCTCACTATGTCCAGGCTGGCCTTGAACTCACTGTGTAGCTCAGGCTGACCTTGAATTCACAATGATCCTCCTGCCTCAGCCTCCCAAGTGTTGGGATTGTGGGTGTGAACCACCACGCCCAGCTACAGGTTGTATTCCTGACTAACTGCACTTATCTTTGCAGTCTTCCCAGCACCTCCACAAGGTAGGATATTTTTTTGATGGAGAAACCAAAGATCAGAGAGGTGCAGGAACTTGCCCAAGTCGCACAGTTTATATGAGGCAGTCCTGGCTTCAGACTAGTACCCATTTGACTCCACAGCCCATTCTTTCTCTACTGAGCTCTGCCACTTCCCTCAAGAGCAAGTAGTAGCTGAGTTCCTAGTTTAGCTCAGAGTTGTCTGGTAACCAAGGCAAAAAAGGGAATTAGAATTTTACTGCCTAACCTTCACTGTTTATCAGGGAAGGAAACAGAAGGTTGTGTTTGGTTTGGTTTGGTTTGGTTTGGTTTGGTTTGGTTTGGTTGAGACAGGGTATCACTATGCAGTCCAGGCTAGCCTCAAATTCACAATCCTCTTCCATCAGCCTCCTGAGCTAGGATTATAGATATGCAGCTCAGGAGTCCAAAAATTCTAGAGGACCTGTGTCAGTGTCCATGTGAAAAATTGCTGAGAAACATCAAGAACAGTTTCACCAAAGGGGCAATCAAGCCTTATGGAAACAGGTTCTGTCCCAGTGCTATAGGCTCTGGCAGGATGTCACACATCTAGCACTGGCCTCCCTCCTGTAGTACTCGCCCTCTTAGGCCTGCTTTGAGGCTCCTGAAAACTCTTTATTATAAAGACCTATGACTGGGGCTGGAGATTTAGCTCAGTGGCACAGCACCTGCCTGGCAAGCGCAAGGTCACAAGTTCAATTTCTGGTACTAGAAGAAAAACAAAAACAAACAAACAAAAACAAAACAAACAAACAAAGACCTATGACCTACCATTATCCCTTCCCAGATACCCCAGGAGCAGGGGAGGTGACGCGATGACTGAGATTTAATTGGCAGCAGATTCCTCTTGTAACTTCATCTAGGACCTGGCGCGGGGATAAGCCTCCAGCCTTGGATAGTGGGGGGTGGGGAGGATGCTTCCTCTGTTAGGGTGTGCCTGTACATCCAAGCAGAACAGCCCAGAACCTGTCCTGGCCGGGCAGCTCTGGGCAGTGACGACCCTCGCCAGCTACTCTGTCTGAAGTTGCACTACTCTAGAAAGAGTTCATGTCCTAAAACCGGAAGTACAGCTGTTTGCTTGAAAAACCTGCGTACAAGAAAACCTTGGTTTGCAAGTATAGTTTGTTCCAGAAACATGCCTGTAATCCAAAGCACTTTCATATCAAAGCAAATTTCGCCATAATAAATAATGAAAACCCAGATGATTCACTCTACAACCCAAAAATATTCATATAAAATGATTATAACACTGTACTAGAATACAAAATAATAAAGAATATATAAAATATAAAGAAAAAATTCTGGGTATGGTGGCGCACACCTGTAATCCCAGCACTCAGAAGGGTGAGGCAGGAGGATCGTTGTGAGTTCAAGACTAGCCTGGGCTACAAAGTGAGCTCAAGCCCAGCCTGAAATGCATAAGGAGACCCTGTCTCAAAAAGACAAAACTAAATAAATAAACAAATTAACCTAACTGGCACTTACCTTTGAAAACTTTTGTGGCTGATATGAAGGAGATGAAGAGAGGGGTTATTGTGTAGGATGACTTTCATTATCACTAACGGAACTGTTATCTATTGACTCTGTGGAATCTTTTTCTTTTTGTGGAACTTTAACAAGGAACCTATCTGGTGACACTTGCTTTTGTCTCCTTTTGAGGACTTCATGAAAATGTAGCATTGCATTGTCATTAAACAGATTCATCACTCACACTGCTACAGCCTTATTTAGGTGGTGCTTTTCTATGACATTTTGCAGTTTCCCACATTTTACACATCTCCTTAGTTGCATTTGGAGTGAGGGATTCCTCTGCCTTTTTCTCCTCCTGCTCTGCAGATGAGATCGCCTCCATAACCTCTTGCTGTAGGGAGATGATCACCCATAATCCCACAGGGAGAGAGGGAGGGAGAAGGAGAGACAGAGAGAGACAGACAGAGGGAGCCATTGGCCCAGGCGTGATCCTGTGACGTTTAGTGTCAGGGACACTCATATTGCAGGGTATCACTGGTTTATCATGTTAAAATTTATTAGAAATGTTTGCCCATCTTGTGGAACACTCACAGGACAAGTTATTCACAAGCCAAGGTTTTACTGTGTCTCTAAAGGAGGTGGTACATTCAGTCATGGTGGAGCAGTAAGGAGCACTGAGACAGCACCACCCAAGGCTCCATTTCCCTCCAGAGCAGCACCCAGGCCTCTGTTTGCACTCCCCCATGACAGAGCACTTCCTCCTTGCCTGGCAGCCCCGCTTCCATCTCAGACAACACTTCTCTGGAAGGAAGCCTCAGCCCCTCCTCTGCAGCCCTCACTACGACATACTGGCCTTTGTCCCCATTCAGGCAAGGCTCTGGCTTTCAGTCTCTCCTCTTCTGAGCTATCAACAATACCGCCTCAAATCAACAAGTCTGTCTCTGTTCCAGAGTTTGCAGTAGCACCTTAGTGCCTGAGGATGCAACATAACCTTCTTCCTGGCATTCAAGGCTCCATTGTGAGATCTTAGGACAAGGAAAGGGAAGACACTATACTTGGAGGGGTATCCTAGGCTGAGCGGCACATATGCCTTGGCATCCAGCCTGGAAGATAGACCAGCAGCCCACCCACCTGCCCACCACCTCAGGCCATCAGGATGGTAGAGAGTTGGGCACAGGAGGCTGAGGCAGGAAGACGATGAGTTTGAGACCTGCCTGGGTGACTTAATGAGATCCTGTCTGACAAAATAAAATAAAATGAAATGTTAGTAAAGCTTCCCTGGGGTAAGGATTGGAAGCGTAGTCTCATCTCAGGTCAAGACCAGCCATTGCTTCAGCTAGAGGACCTTGGTAAAGCTCCTCTGGCTGCCCCGCCACTGTGGAAACAGCAGGCAAAACAAGGTGCCCCGACTAACCACACCCCGACCCCGGCCCATGTATCTCCTGCCAGATCAAAATCTGGGACATCCCCAAGCAGCTGCTGACAAGGAACCTCACAGCCTACAGGAAGGAGCTGGTGGGCCATGCACGCAGAGTGGGCCTGGTAGAGTGGCACCCCACTGCCGCCAACATCCTCTTCAGCTCTGGCTACGACTACAAGGTGGGTCTGAGACTTCCCCAGCAAAGTCACCACATGTGGGTGAGTTGAGACAACAGAAGCGTCCTCTGCCCTGTTCCAGAGACTAGAAATCCCAGGTCAAGGTGCTAGCGGGCCATACAGAGCCCTGGGGAGAGTCATCCGTGCCTGGCCCCTGGCTGGCAGCCGTGTCACCCCAGGCTCTGCCTCTGTCTCTGCATGGCCGTATCCCTGTGTGTCCTCTCTTCTTCTTATAAAGACACCCACATTTTTATGACCTAAATTAACTACATCTGCAGAGACCTTATTTCCAGCTAGGCGTGGTGGCGTATGCCTGTAATCCAGCACTTAGAAGGCTGAGGCAGGAGGATCATTGCAAGTTCAAGACCAGCCTGGGCTACAAAGTGAGCTCAAGGCCAGCCTGAACTGCATAGCAAGACCATTTCAAAAAGACAAAAGACCTTATTTCCAGAACATCTGAGGTTCTGGGTGGACCTTTGTTTTGGGGAGCATGAGTCACCCCACTGCAGTGTGCCTGAAGGTCAGGGTTGGGCCCTTAGACTTCCCTGCTCCAGGGACTGCATGCTCCTCCAGCACGGTTTCTCACTGGCAGGGTGACCTGGGAAGGTCCCTGTGCCTTCTGTGGGCCTCTTTCCCCGTCTGTAGGCAGATGTGGTGGGACTGCAGCCGTAGATTCTCAGCTTTTTCCTTCTTGCCCTGTTGGGCCTTACAGAGGCACTCGGGGCCTCTGTGATGGATTAGAAGGTGGGATGGGAGCTGGTAGAGGGAGGGCTCTGGACTCCCCGCTGCCTGCTGATCAGAAGCACTCTTTGTATATGGTATGAGCTGGGCTACTGTGCATGGCTCTGCCAGTTATTCTGTACACAGCTCCAGGGGGCGCTATTCGCTTCTTGGGCTATCCGTTTAAATTGCCCAGGAGCTGTGCAGTGCACAGCCTGTGCAGCTAAACCTGGCAGCCCTGGTTATCCATGTGAAGTGGAAAATGCTGCTACTGTTTGAACACAACTCCTCCCACTCATTTGCTGGTTCCCTGGGGTCTCCCAGCGTAGATGTTTTGTTGCTCAGAGGCAGATGGTATTTTCCTCTCACTGCCATGCATCCTGGCTCCAGGCTTCCCCTCTGCCCCATACAGCTTCAGCAGCATATCTGTTCTCTTCCCACCGCCACCGAGGCTCCTGGGCCAGGCTGCCAGCTGCGTGTCCCTCCTGGGGATACTGTTTCACTGGGCCCATGTGTCACTGCAGGACTGGGGCGGGGTGGCCACTGCCTGCACTCAGAGCCGGCACTCTGCCTGCAGGTGATGATCTGGAACCTGGATACAAAGGACTCTGTCATCATGAGCCCCGTGAGAGCCATCACCTGTCACCAAGATGTGATCCTGTCCATGTCTTTCAACACCAACGGCAGCCTGCTGGCTACTGCCTGTAAAGACCGAAAGATTCGGGTTATTGATCCCCGGCTTGGGATGGTCCTGCAGGTCAGTGCTGGGCCGGGGTCTGGCATGGGGGCTGAGAAGCAGGGCGCCAGGTCGGGCTGGGGCAGCTCTGAGAACCGGACGGCATGCTGGTGGCTTCTGGGTCAAGCCCTCATAGGCGATATCCTCGGCTGCCCTCTAGACACCATGGGGAAATAAGGCATGCCAGGTCCTTTTCTCAAATGGGAAAGCTGAGGCCAAAGAGAGAGGAAGGGACTCCCTCACACAGAGAGCAGGATTGGACCTGGTTCACCTCCAGAGCTGGTCCGTGTGCTCTGTCAGAGGGTCAGGAGACAGAGGCAGCACTGTCTGTCCACTGAGTGACCTTGGACAAACACCTTCTGCTCTGTGACAAACACTTGCTGCTCATCAGCAGCAATGGCCATTAGTCTTTCTTGTCAGAGGACTACATGGGACCGCCAGGTGACAGCGTGCACCCAGCCCTGTGCTTCCTCAGCGTGTTGCTCAGTACACTCTCAGCAGGAGCGCGGAGCAGGGTTGAGCTTGACCACATCCCAGCTGAAAGAAATGACTCTCAGCAAAGACCAGGAGAGCGCCGTGTGATAAGGGGGCCAGGCAGGCTTCCTGGCGGTGGTGCCCCAGGTGGGCTTTCCAGCAGCCAGGCTGAGAAAGGGAGGCCAGAACCTCCAAACTGCAGTCCAGGTCCCCTCCTGGCATCTGACCATGCTACCCGCACATGTCCCCCCAGGAAGCCAGCAACAAGGGGCACCGGGCCAGCAAGGTGCTGTTCCTGGGGAACCTGAAGAAGCTGCTGTCCACAGGCACGTCGCGCTGGAACAACCGGCAGATGGCCCTGTGGGACCAGGTGGGTCCACAGGCACCCCCGGCTCTGCCATCACCCCTCAGCCTGGTGTTGCTTCATTCATTCATTCATACAACCGGTCATTCGGTTCTCACAGTGCGGAGTGGCATCCGCTGGGGCTGAGCACCTGGGCGAAGAACAGGGAGATGCCAGCCGCCCCTTGGGCGAGCCCAGGGCCTGGTGCATCCTGTCTTTGAAGGAGGGAGATGGGGAGGCCCCAGAAGAGGCCCTGGTGGAAGGCAAGGGCAGCCTCAGGAGCTGCTAGAGCACAGCCTGGGGACTGGTGCTAAAGGGCATCCACAGAGGTAGAGGGGGAATGGCGGTGGCAAGCAGGGCTAGTTTGAAGGAGCATTTGCCAGACATTTCAGACACTGCACCGATCGCTTCCCCGCAGAGCCTCCTGCATCTCGTAAAACAGATGGAGGCCAGGCAGGATGACATTCGCCTGTAATCGCAGCACTTCGGAGGCTGAGGCAGGAGGATGACAAGTTTCAGGCCAGCCTAGGCTACATAGTCAAATCAAAACCAAAAATAATGGAAAGAAATAGAGGTTGGAGGAGGAACAGCATCAGATCAGGTGTGTCGAAAGTGACTTAAGGTCAAATGCTGGCAAAATAGATGGTAGCAGCTTTAGTGCCTTTAAAATGTCTCCTCTGTGAGACAGTGGCCCACAGATGGGCCTCAAGAACCAGGGCCTCTTCCCCCAGCATTTATGCACAAGATCAGACACTCTGCCACGCACACCCCAAGCCCCACGGCAGCAGTTCTGATCTCAGGAGACTCAGCAGCCGTCCGGTCTGCCTTCCCTGCAGGATGATCTGTCGGTGCCCCTCACAGAGGAGGACTTGGACGGCTCCTCCGGCGTGCTGTTTCCCTTCTACGACCCGGACACCAACATGCTCTATGTGGTCGGAAAGGTCAGCCTGGCCAGCTCGAGAGGGAGGTGGCCGCCTGGGCCCCTGAGGCAAGAGCAGAAATCTCCCAAGCTGAGCCCAGCAGCCTGGGCCCCATGGGGACAGAAAACAGTGGCTGGCCACTCTTCCTAACAGGGGAGCACCCTTCCGCGCCCTCCCAGCTCTCTAGGGAGACTGGGGCCAGGGCTGTGGCTGGTCACTGCACTCTTGACCTTCCAGCTGTGGGACCAGATGGCCTTTCCCAGCAGGGCCACTCTGACCTTGGGCAGAGCAGGTCTTCACAGGGTAGGGCTCTCATAGTTGGCATCTCTGGCCTCTACCCGCCAATGCCAGGAACGTGCCCCCCTGTCTTCTAGTCATTATGACAACCAGAAATGTTCCTCAGGGCTAAGATTCTGGCCTCCATGAGGCTCTTGGATGGGAGTGGGATTTGGGCCTGTTTTCCCAAAGCCTCTGCCTTAGAGACTGAGGGTGGGTTTCGCATTATAGCTGGGGGCACTGAGAATTAAAACGAGGACTTCCTTGTCCGTGCCTTGGTGGCAGGCCCTGAGCTCTCTGGTGTCCCCAGGGAGATGTGGGTTTTCACCTCTGTGAAAGCCAGAGGTGACTGCTTGACCTGGAGGCCCAAGCGCTGCCCGCGGCTCAGCTCTGAGTCTCCGCTGCTCTCTTAGGGGGATGGGAACATCCGCTACTACGAGGTGAGCACCGACAAACCTCACCTGACCTACCTGACCGAGTTCCGCTCCTACAACCCCCAGAAGGGGATCGGTGAGTGGGGCTCCTGGGCCACTCGGGAATAGGCCTCTGCGGCTGTCAGAATCGCTTTTCTGTTGCTAACTCAGGACCACCAACTGGATGAGTTATAACACGTGAACTGTGTTTTGGCTCATGGTTCTGCAAGTACAAGGTCAAAGGGCCACAGCTGGTGATGGCAGAGACTTTCTGCTAGCAGAGCCCCGAGCCAGGGAGCGCTAGGGTGTCTCTTCTCAGCACTTCTTCTTACAAAGCCACCAGGACTCAGTCATCGTGGTTCCACCCTGATGACCTTATCTACCCTGATCACTCCCCAAAAGGCCCCTCTCTAAGCCCCACAGTTAGACTGCATCCCACCCTCTTAATACTCATGGTGGGGTTTGAGTTTCAATGCCCGAGCCCTGGGGGACAGCCTCAGACCGCAGCAGGTGTGACTGGAGGTGTACAGCAGCACAAAGAAGCGAGCCAGAGCCAGGGAGTGCTTCCGGAGGAGGCACCATCGGAGGCACTGAAGGAGGAAGCAGAGCGGCCCCGCCTGGGAGAGAGGAAGTGTTCTGGCGAGGGCCAGCGTTACAACACAGCAAGGGAATGAGCGCTGCTGCCCTAAAAATAAAACCCAAGGAGCAGTTCCTTCCTTTTTTCTAAGTGTGTTTGCCGATTTAAAAGGATGCACACCTCTAATCCCAGCTCCTCAAGAGACTGAGACAGGAAGATCACTGCTTTGAGGCCAGCAAAGGCATTTTAGGGAGACCTTGTCTCAAAATAAAAAAGGGCTGGGGATGTAGCTCAGTAGTAGAGCACCTCTAGATTCAATCCCCAGTGCTATTAAAAAAAAAAGTCAATAAACAAAAATAAGAAGATCTAAAAACAAAAAAATAAATAAGAAGATCTAGCCAGGTGTGGTGGCACAGGCCTGTAATCCCAGCACTCAGGAGGCTGAGGCAGGAGGATTGTTGCAAGTTTGAGGCCAACCTGGACTACAAAGTGAGCTCAAGGCCAGCCTGCACTGCATAGCGAGACCCTGTCTCAAAAAGACCAAAAAGGGGGTGGGAGATTTAGCTCAGCGGCACAGCACCTGCCTGGCAAGCACAAGGTCATGAGTTCAATTCCCAGTACCGGCAAATAAATAAATAAATAAATATATTGTGTTAAAAGAAAAAAAGATCAAAAAAAAAAAAAAAGGATCTAACAAGGGCTGAGGGTGTAGCTCAGGGGTAGAGTGCTTGCCTAGCATGTGTGAGGCCCTGAGTTCAGTCCCCAGTACAAGGATTAAAAAAATTTAAAATAAAAAATAATTATTTTTTACAGTAATAAAAAATCCAGTTAAACACTATTTGAAAAGTAAAAAGCTCAAGGAAGCTATATCATGGGGGTGTAGTTTAGTTGTAGAGTTCTTGCCTAAAAAGTGTGAGGCCCTGAGTTCCATTCCCAACACCAAAAATAAAATTAAAGAAAAGACAGAAAGCAGGAATATCCCTATTAAGAGTATTTGGGTCCCCAGGCTGGGGCTGGAGGCAGAGCAAACTGCCTGTAAGAACCTAGTTAAAAGGCTTGGAGGTGGAGACAGAGTCCAGTAACTAGCTCCATTTCCCAAGCACAGGCCCCACTGTACCTAAGTATTTGGTTATAAGCTGTGTGCTGAGGAAAGAGGGTGGGGAGAGGGCAGTCCCCCTGGGGACAGCCTGGCTTTGCCGCACACGCCAGGTCCTTGTAGCCCCGGCCCAACCAGGACCTCTTGACACCCCTTGGCCATCTGTCTGCAGGTGTCATGCCAAAGAGAGGTCTCGACGTGTCCTCCTGCGAGATCTTCCGCTTCTACAAGCTGATCACAACCAAAAGCCTCATTGAGCCTGTATCCATGATTGTGCCCCGGCGGGTAAGGCTGGTGGAGCCATTGGGGTGGGAGACAAAGAGCCCATCTTACAGAAGACAGACCCTGGGGTGTCAGGGTCCCAGCACACCCAGCCCATGCCTTGAGGGCAGCCACAGGGAGGCCGAGGGTCACTCCTTCAAGGGAAGATACTTCTCAGGGTCATCACCAGGGCGCCAGGCATCCTGGGCCTCCCCTACCCTGACTTTTGAGCTGTGTATGGTCTTGGGCAAGTCTCTTTGCTCTCTGGGCCTGGGTTTCCTCAATTCAGCAGGGTTGGAGAGAGCCTGGACTCCCAGCTGCCCACCCTGCCACTGTCCCCTCACTGTCCGCACTCTCCTGCAGTCGGAATCCTACCAAGAGGACATCTACCCACCGACAGCAGGGGCCCAGCCCTCCCTGACGGCTCACGAGTGGCTCAGTGGGATGGACAGAGGTGAGGAAGGCCGAGAATGGCAACTGTGATGAAAAAAGAAGTCCCAGTGGCCCCAAGTGCTATTGGGGGACAGGGGCATGGCCTGTATGTTAATTTCCTGTATCTTCAAAGGACAGCTCTTTGATAGTGAGTCCTCAGTAACTGGATGGTCGCCTACGGGACTAGGACGGTAGGGCTTGACCCAGGTGGTTCAGAAAGCTCCTCCACAATGATTGCACCAGTCTACGCTCCCACCAGCAGTGGAGAAGGGTTCCTTTTCCCCACATCCCTACCAGCATTTGTTATTAGTTGATTTATTGATAATAGCCATTCTTTTTGGAGTGAGATGGAATCTCAGTGTTGTTTTAATTTACATCTCTCAAATGGCTAATGATTTTCAATATTTTTTCATATATTTATTTGCCATTTCTACTGCTTTATCCGAGACGTGTCTATTCGTTTCAGATGCCCAATTTTTGGATTGAGTCTTTAAATTTGGTGTGTCTGATTTTTTTTTGAGTTCTTTATGTATTCTAGATATTAGTCCCTTGTCTGAGGAACCACTGGCAAGAATGTTTTCTCACTCAGTGGATTGTATCTTCATTCTGTTGACGATTTGTTTTATTGTGCAAAAGCTTTTAATAAGATGAGATCCCAGAAGTTGATGTTTTGTAATGTTTCTCTTGCAGGCAAAGTTTTGTTCATAAAGTCTTTGCCTACACCAATATTTTCAAGAGTTCTGCCGGTTTTCTCTTCCAGCAGATTTAGTATTTCTGTTTTAATATTTAGATCTTTGATCCATTTGATTTTAGTTTAGTGCGTGATGAGAGACACAGGTCTAACTTTTGTTTTTGGCATGTGGAAAGCTAGTTTTTCCAGCACCATTTATTAAAGAGGCTATCTATGTTCCAGTGAGGGTATTTGGCCCCTTTGTCAAAGATGAAGTGGCTGATTGTGTTTGGAATTGTTTCTGCATTTTCTGATCTGTTCCATTGATCCTCAGGTCTGTTTTTGCCAGTACTATGCTGTTTTTATCATAGTAGCTTTGTAGTAAGATTTAAAGTCAGGTATTGTGATGCCTCCTGACTTGCCTTTGTTGCCCAGAATTGTTTTTGCTATTCTAGGTCTCTTTTGGTTCCAAACAAATTTTAGGATTATTTTCTCAAACTCTGTGCTATTGGTATTTTGATCAGGGTTGCATTAAATCTGTGCAACAATTTTAGAAGTGTGGCCATTTTCACTATGTTGGTTCTTCCTACCCAAGAACGAAGGATATCTTTCCACTTTCTGATACCATCTTTGATTTCCTTTCTCAGAGTATCATAGTTTTCAGTTTAAAGATTTTTTACTTCCTTTGTTAGATTGATTAAGTATTTCATTTTTTTTAGTGCTATTGTGAAAGTCATGATTTCCCTAAATTCCCTGTCAGTGAGTTTGTTGTTTTTATACAGGAATGCTACTGATTTTTTTGAGTGTTGACTTTGTATCTGAGTGTGCAGCTGAATTTGGTTATTAAATATAGAAGTTCTTGTGCAATTTTTAGAGTCTTCTGTGTACAGTATCATGTCATGTGAAAATAATGATAATTTAACTTCTTCCTTTCCTGTCTTTATTCCTTTTATTTATTTCTCTTGTCCAATTGCTCTGGCTCATGTTTCCAAACTGTACTGAGTAGGAATGGTGATAGTGGATATCCTTTTTTTTTTTTTTTTTTTTTTTTTTTTTTTTTGAGACAGAGTCTTGCTGTGCAGTTCAGGCTGGACTTGAGCTCACCTTGTAGCCCAGGCTGGCCTGGAACTCACAATGACCCTCCTGCCTCAGCCTACCAAGTGCTGGGATTACAGGAGTGCACCACCACACCCAGTGATAGTGGATATCCTTGTCTTGTTCCTGATTTTAGAGTGAACACTTTTAGTTTTTTATCATTTAGTATGATGTTGGCTGTTGGTTTGTCATTGATGGCTTTTATCAGATTGAGATAAAGACCATCTGTTCCAATTTTCGGTAGGGTTTTTATCATGAATGGGTGTTGGACTTTGTCAAATATTTTTTCTTTCTATTAAGATGATCATGTGATTTTTGTCCTTGGCTCTGTTGATATGGTATATTACATTTATTGATTTGTGTATGTTGAACCATACCTGCATCCCTGGGATGAATCGGTGTGGAATTCCTCAAAAAACAAAAGCTAGACATTCCATTTGACCCAGCTATTCCCCGTCTTGATATCTTCCCAAAAGAATTAAAAACATCATACCACAGAAATCTATACACACTCATATTTATAGCAGCACAGTTTGTAAATAGCTAAATCTTGGAAAAACCCCAAATGCTCATCAACCAATGAATGGATAAAGAAGATGTGGGTGTTTTCTACAATGGAGTACTACTGAACCACAGAGGATAAACTTGAGACATTTTAGGTGAATGGATGGACCATACTCTTAAGTGAAATAAATCGAGCACTTTTAAATATCAGTTTCTCTGATGTGAGAAACCAAAAGTGTAAATAAGGACCAGAATGTGTACTAGATATTATGAAATAAATGCTCAGTTTGGAAGGGGAATTAGGGAAGGAGGGGAGAGAAAGGAAAGAAAGGGAAAAGAAAAAAATGAGAAAAGAAGAAAAAACAGAAACAAAACTTGTAAAAGAAAAAAAGGAGGGAAAGAGGGACTAGAAGGAGGAAAAAGGAATGGGGGAAAAAGGAATTGAGCTAAGGGGCTGGGGATTTAGCTCAGCGGCAAAAGCGCCTGCCTGGCAAGCGCAAGGTCGTGAGTTCGGTTCCCGGTACCGGAGAAAAACCAAAAAAAAAAAAAAAAAAAAAAAAAAAAGGAATTGAGCTAAGTCATGTACAGGTACAAAGTCCCAATGATGAAAGTGCTCATTATGTATATTTTTAAAATGTACCAATAGCCAGGCGTGGTGGCGCATGCCTGTAATCCCAGCACTCGGGAGGCTGAGACAGGAGGATGGTTGCGAGTTCAAGACCAGCCTGGGCTACAAAGTGAGCTCAAGGCCAGCCTGAACTGTACAGGGAGACCCTGTCTCAAAAAGGAAAAAAAAAAAAAGTATTAAAATGTACCAATAAACTTAATTAATTAAAAAAAAAACTCCAGCTCAAGGGAAGTTGCCCAACGTATCAGTTTTCACTCTGAGGCTCTTCAGGGGAGCTGGACAGTCTCAGCCAGACTCCCCTGCCCAGCCCCCACTCCTACTTCTGCCCAAGAGATGCTCTGGGCAGCAACTGCCACCCAGGCTCTTTGCTCCTTCAACAGAGCCTGATGGTAGCCAGGGCCAGCCCCATGGAAAGAGAGCAACGTATGTTCCCTTGACCCCTGACCCAGAAGCTCTTTCCCTCCATTTCCCTCATTTCCTTCACCAGGGGCTGAGGGGCCTCCTCATGCACTGAAAGGGCTACCGCCAGTGCCAAGTCCCAGAATTGTGCGACCTTAGGTCCTCTCCTCACTGAGCCTCTGATTCCCCCTCTTCCTTCCGCCCCTGCTTCCTGGGGGTGCTGGGAGAACTCATGGTGTCGGGAGATGGCAGAGTTCGGTGTTGCGGGGGCTGTCCTCACCAGGCGAGGACCAGGCTACATGGAGGAACACACGGGGTCTGCGGACAGCTCCAGTGCGCACCGCACGCGGTTCCCACCACAGGATTTGCGTAGGTGGCAGCGGCCTGCTGCTTGTGTCTGGACTGCCCGGCCTGGGTTTCTTCTGCCTGTCTGCAGGCAGCGGCGTCTCCCACACCTGTTGCGCCTGTCCACATGCCAGCCTCCCCACAGCCATCTGCTATGCCACTCCGTCCCCTCACGGCCCTTTCCTCCCTCCAGAGCCAGTCCTGGTGTCCCTCCGGCCCGGCTCCCAGTTGCGGAGCCCTCAGCCTCTGCCTCCCCAGAGACCCCTCTCCAGTGCTGCAGCCCCAGCTCCACTCCTGCCCTTGGACCCCACACCAAAGCAGGCTGCAGAGGACAGCCGGCGGCCCTGCTCCCTGCTGGAGGAGAAGGTGCCAAGGTGGGCAGTGGAGCACAGACTGGAGGAGAAGAAATCCTGGCTCACCAACGGCTTCGACATTTTCGAATGCCCGCCACCAAAGACAGAGAATGAGGTAAAGGAGGGTGTGGGCCTGCTGGGGGCGCCTGGGGAGGGAATTGGCACTGCCTGCCCCTGGGGCAAGGGCCGAGAGAGAGAGAGGAAGATGCTGGCTGAGACGTATAGCCTGCTGTGTGGCCTGGCTTAGTCCCCAACTCACTTTGTCCGTTCACTCAACAAACGGGCAGTGAGCACCTTCTGTAGGCCACAGTGGTGAATATACACACAGTGGAAGGAACCATCTGGAAAATGCAGAAGATTTGACGTGGTGAGCATTAAAGCCCCTTCCAGTGCTCATGTTCTGAGGCTTTCTGGGCTTTCAGAGTGAACATCTATTGAGTGCTTTACCCTATACCAGAACCTGGGATCGATGTATGTTCTTGATTTTGAATGTGCTGGATTCCCATGGGCCACAGCCCCAGAAGTCAATGTGGAGGGGCTAAAAATGGAAGCCAGGCATCTGGCAGGGGACTCTGATCTGCTCTGCTGGGCACTCAGTAGGGGCCTCAGACCTGGGGGTTCGCATGTTGCTAAGCATCCGTTTCCAAGTGTGAAGCAGAGGTGACACAGGGGTGTCACAAGTGTGCAGAGCATAAGGAAAGCCCTTGGGGGGCACCCAGCATCTAACAGCTGTCCTCTGCGCAGCAACAATTACACAGCGAGGAGGTTTTCTGAGCCCCAATCCCTAGAGCAGTGGGGGCAAACCTATGGCGCACGTGCTGCAGCTGCCTGCTGCTTGTTACCATTGAAAGCTCCAAAAGGTTTGCCATCACTGTCCTAGAGGAAGAAACGGAAGGTCAGAGTGGGCAAGTACCTCATCACCCACAGTCACACAATTTAGTGGTAGTGAAAATGCCAATTTCCAGGCTTCAGGGCCAAATATCTTTTCCTCCTCATCCCTCAGGAGCCAAAGAGGCAAAATATGTCTAAAACTTTCAAACCTTTTTTGAATTTCCCTTACTGGGTGAAGTAGAGATTTTTGTAAAAAAATCTGTGCGTAGATTGCCCCCTTGTTAATTTAATCACCTCTGCCTCTGAGTCAAAAAGAGGCAGTCTTTTAGCCCTTCTGCTGGTACCCTGTCCCTGCCATCCAAGTGTTCATGCCCTCTGACCTCTGCCTTTCCAGCTGCTGCAGATGTTCTACCGGCAACAGGAGGAGATCCGAAGGCTCCGGGAGCTGCTGACCCAGCGAGAGGTCGAGGCCAAGCAATTAGAACTGGAGATCAAAAACTTGCGGATGGACTCTGGGCAGTTCTGAATGAGGCCTCTGCTATCCCCGCCCTCAGGGACACCGCTGGCCTTGTGGGGAGGTCCAGAACCAAGCCTCAAGTCCCCCTGAAACAACCACTATTTCTATATTTTTTACCAGAAAACGAAACTCTCAGTCACTGAAAGAGATTCCAGTGGGACGTGGTGCCGTTTTCTATTTGCCTTCTTGCGACAGCAGTTCCTGCACTGACTCTGTTTTTAGATGATACTTTGCCTTCTGTTGAATTCTGTCTCTGAGGGTCCACAATGAGCTATAACTTCTCAAGAGGAAAGAACACTGTAGAAAGTCTGAGCTGGAAGGATCTGGGAGGTCAGCTGCCTGTGATGTTCAAACTGTGCTCTAAGGATGGGAGGACGACCTAGGCAGGAGCCCATTCCAGCAGACGGCCCCTTCTGTCTGTTTCATACACTGGCCTGCTGTGGAATACAGAAATCTGCCACTTACACAGATTTCTAGAACTTTGAAATCTGGCTCAGCTACCTCATTTTCAGGAGGGAAACTGAGGCCCAGGGAAAGGCAGTGAGGTCTGTCTCATGGCGGGGCTAGGCTGAGATCCAGGTGCCCTGCTGTTTCTGCTGCTTCTGGCCTGATGCAGTTCTCAGCCTCCTAGCAGGAATCCCCTGGTTCTGGTCTTGGCTGTGCCATGACTTACACTTGGTGACCATTTACAAAATCCTCCTCTGTCAGGTCTCTGCTTCTCCGTCTGAACAGGAGGGACCCTGGAAGGAGCTGCCCCCGACAGGTCTGCCCCCAAAGACCTTGACCTCATTCCCACCTGTGACGTAATGACCTTAGAAACTCACACACTGGAAAAGAGGCTGAGGTGGGTTAACCCGAAGGAATGAGTTAAGGTTCATCCCAATTCTGCAGCACAGACTGGAGGTCAAAACCATCCTTCCTAGCCAGGATCAGCCAGGTGTGGGGAGGCGCTGGCCTCTGTGTGGAGAGGCGGACCTTAGAGTTGAATCTGTGGACTGCTGTACGTAGCCTGGGAGATGTGGGCAGATTGCAGCTCAGGTTAACAAAGGAGGCTCCAAGAGATCTGGAGCCCAGGACTGGCTCCTGGCGGAGCCCTGTGGCTGCCCACCAGTGCGGGCTTCTGGCGAGAGATGAACACGCCAGGGGAGGAAGTAGCAGCAGATGGTCCTGAAGTTCCCTTCTGGCCTGGAAGTTTTTCTGTGTCCCTTCTTTCTTGCTTCTGTTCTGTTTTGTTTTTCTGGTACTGGGTATCATCCCCAAGGCTTCAAACTGAGCTACATCCCCAGCCCTTTTTAAGTTTTTTTAATTTGAGACAGGGTCTCACTAAGTCACTAAGCTGCCCAAGCTGGGCTTGAACTTGTGACCCTCCTGCCTCAGCTACCCAAGCAGCTGGGATTTACAGGTGTGCCGCCATGCCTGGCTGCATCTCTCCTCGTTGAATCTCTACCCTGAGCCCTACTCTAAGGCTCTAACTTTCTCATGGTCAGTTCAGCCCAGCCAGAGACTAAGACTAATAAGCAGCAGAATCTGTCTCTCCTTACCCAGGATGGGCAGACAGTAAGCTTTCCCCATCCCATGGGTGACTCTGCGCTCAGATGAGACTGCAGAAGACATAGCCTAAGAGGGTTCACCCCACGCTGTACAGTGCAATCCCCTTCAGAGCCTTCAGGAAATAGAGATGCCCAGGCCCCATTCTGCATCCACTAAAGCCAAGTCTCTACAGCCTGGGCCTCTGGTTTTATAAGCTGCTGCGGTGGTTGTGTAAAATGGGATAGAAACCCCTGGACCAGTTCCTAGGGCCCAGTCTGCAGCGAAGGTGAAGAGAGCAATGAACACCACACAGGAGCTGGGGCTCAAATATGGTACCCAAACTGTGCTCTCCGCGCCCCCCGCCCCGGGCTTGGCTGGTGCCCTTGCCTGTCTGCAAACACCAAAGAAAGGCCCATGTTCTTTGTCTTATTCTCTATTTCCCCGAACCTCCAGCCAAGCTTGCCTTACTTTGCTTAGGAGCAAAAGGCCAGGTCCCAGGCACCGCAGGGCTTCCCTGACTGGTGTTGCCTCTCCTGCTTCATCAGCGGCCAGCACATTGCAGTTTACAAAGCCCTCCCACCTCCGCTCACTGGCACATGCTGCTCCAACGCAGGTCAGGCAGGCGATACTGTCCGGTGTTCAGAGGGAAGACCTAGCCTCAGAGAAGTGAAGCAACCTCATGCCCAAGGTCCCTGGCTGCCCAGCGCGGGGCACAGGGTGGGAGGGGTGTTTGAGTCTGAAGAGCTTCCAGCATCCCTGCAAAAGCTGCCACCTGGGGAACCTGGACCTCACACTCGGAAACAGGATGCCGGCTTGGAACAAATTTGTTTTCTGTCTTTTTTTTTTTTTTTTTAAACACCTAGATAGAGTAAATTATTTAAATTATTTCACTGCAAGGGAGAGGGCTAGGTAATTTTTATCAAATATTTTTTAAGCTCTCTTTTTTTTTAATTACGTTTTTGTTTATGTTCTCGAGCTGATGGAGTGGACTATGCCTAGCCAGTAGGCAGCGCCTGCAGCTCATCTCCTTACTGCACCCCCTACCCCAGGAACCCCCTTCTGTTGACTCAGGAACTCTCATTGGAGATGAGCTTCAGCTGGTGTCCACCATCACTCTACAGTGATTGCACTTCCTGAGAGGAGAGCTGAGACAGGAAGTCAGGAATGGATGGATGCTTTTCATGCGAAAGTGTGCCTGAAACGGTTCGAATGATTGTTTTAATGTTTCTGAAATTCCTTGTACCTTTGTAAAAAATAAACAAATAAATAAAAGTGAAAATAGATACGGACTTGTGCAATGGAGAGAATGTAACAAAACAATAAACATCTGGCTGACATTTTAATACATGTAACTTTGCTTTTCTTGATTTGTTCCACCAATACCAATGAAGTAACCACCTACTGCCCAGCGTGGTGGCACACTCCTGTAATCCCAGCACTCAGGAGGCTGAGGCAGGAGGATCATTGTGCATTCAAGACCAGCCTGGGCTACCAAGTGAGCTCAAGCCCAGCCTGAACTGCAGAGGGAGACACTGTCTCAGAGACAGAAGAAAAAAAAAAGTAACCACTTACTGTTTGGGCCAGACATGCAGCAGCTAAGAAGCAGGCCAGGCAAGGTCCTAACCACCGCCGCCACCACCACCACCACCACCTGCTGCACGCGACCAGCACAGGCCAGGCTGTTCTGGGAGGAACTGGAGAAGGTGCCCTCGAGGAGGTGACAGCCAAGCCCAAACCCCAAAACAGGGAAGTGGAAAGAGGCAGGGCAGAGGGCGTTCGGGGAGCACAGGAGTGTTGTCGGGGGAGAAAACTGCTTGCTTCCCTCAGTCTGGAAAGGAGCAAAGTGCAGGGACTAAGGGCTGCTTTGTTTTTCGTCTTTTATTTTGGTTCTGGGAATCAAACTCAGGACCTTGCGCTTGCCAGGCAGGTGCTGTGCCTCTGAGCTATATCCCGGCCCTTGTTTTTGCCTTTTTGAGACAGAGTCTCTCTATGCAATTAACCAGGCTGGTCTCGAACTCGCAATGATCCTCCTGCCTTAGCCTCCCAAGTGCTGGCATTACAAGTGTGCGTCACCACACCCGGCTTTCAAGAGTTGTTTTGAGGTTTTTTGCTTGTTTTTTGGTTGTTTTTTTTTTTTTTTTGGCGTCGGGAATCGAACTCAGGACGTTGTGCTTGCCAGGCAGGCGCTTGTGCCACTGAGCTATATCCCCGGCCCTTTCACGGGTTGTTGTAGGCTAAGACCTTGTAAATTTTAGCCCGCGGGCAACAGAAGTTTCCCAGCGATTCCTTACCAATGTGCGAGAGGGCCCTGGAGGATAAGGTAAAGAGAGGGGTGTGGCTAATCTGTGCTCTTCGGGAAGAGCATCCCCATCCCGGTCCCATCCCCACCTCGCTGCAGTTGTCTGAGTGTTACTGGATTAGCGTCGCTGAGCGTCTCCTTCCAGCCAGCCCATTAGGAGAGAGTGCCCGTTTCGGTGCCGGCCTTCACTCTGGGCTGGGCACGCGGAGCACCCCGCCGGGGAGAAGAGCTGTGAGGTCAGCCCCTGCCCTGGGCGGGACCCTGTGGCTCCGCCTCCGGCCCAGTTTCGATTCCGAGCAGCCCGCCCACACCCTCCGTGGGAGCCTGGAGCGGTGGGCGCGAATGGCTAGCGCGACTACTACGAGCCGGACCCCCGGGGGGCCGGGCCCCGCCGAGCCTGAGGAGGCGCTTAGCTGGCGCTGCTCCGAGCACAGCGACCGCCCGGTCGAGCTCTTCTGTCGCCGCTGCGCCCGCTGCGTGTGCGCGCTCTGCCCCGTGCTGGGCGCGCATCGCGGCCACCCGGTGACCCTGGCGCGGGACGAGGCGGCGCGCGTGCAGGTGGGGACCGTGCAGGCTGCAGGGCGCAGAGCTGGGGGCGACCCAGGAGGAGCGGGCAGGGCGTGCCTGGGCGCAGCCACTGTTGGGACCTGGAAACCGGAAGGTGGTCCAGCGGTCGTCTGGTCTGTAGACCTACAGACCGGAGACTGTGGCCCAAGAAAGACAAAGGGGCGCCAGAGCCACCAGATAAGCTTCAAAAGAGATGGGTTTGGGAGCGAGTCCTGGGAGCCAGGCAAGTCAGTGCCCAGATGCCCGTGATGTAACCCAGCACGGCAGGTCACCTTACTGCGCGGGCTGGAAATCTCTCGGTTCACAGAGGAGCCCCCCACCTTCCCTCTTCCCACCCCTGAGAAAACGGCCCAGCGTGGCTCCAGAAAGCCAACAGGCGTGGCCTGGGGTTCCTACACCTCCTGTAGTTCACAGAAGGCCGTAATCTGAGGACCCTCCCCGCTGGCTGGCGGCCTCAGCGGACCCTCTTCCTCCTGGGTGGTTGGCTCCTCGCTCCGTGGAGCCGCACCGCTTCAGCGCCTGACCACCCTGGGCCAGCTGTTGCTAGAATTGTAGCCACTTTGAGGATAACAAAAGCAAGGCTCTGGAACTAGGGGCAGGCTTTGAACCCAGGACCCCCCAGCAGGAGTGCTTCCCAGAGAGCTGGTTCTCATCTTGATGCCCTTGGCCCACCTGAATCCTGATAGTGGACAGAGGTCAGGTTTTCTGTGTTCTGCCTCCAGTACTGTGGCTCTGCTAATCCCTCCTCTCTGGCTTTTTTTTTTTTTTTTTTTTTTTTTTTGAGACAATCTCCTTATGTATTTCAGCCTCCTCTTGAACTCATCATGTAACCCCAAGCTAGCAATCCTCCTGCCTCAGCCTCAAGTGCTGGATTTGCAGGCACAGGCCACCACACTTGGCAGTCTGGCTTCTTGAAGGCTGGGCTGAGCAGGCTCTCCTATCTCTTCAGACACTGACTCTACCATTTCCTCTGAGCTCTGCCCCATTATGACCTTTTCTCTGCAGGAAATCAACCTTGGAATGCCAAGAGAAATTGGCCCTGTGCGGGACAGCCTGGCTGGTGGGTGTATGACCTGCCCCTACCTCCAAGAGCCTTCCTTTTCCTGTTTATAAAATAGCTGTAATAATCACCAGGTGTGGCGGCACATGCCTATAGTCCCAGCACTTGGGAGGCTGAGACAGGAGGATCGCCATGAGTTTGAGGCCAGTTTGGGCTACATAGTGAGTTCAAGGCCAGCCTGGACTACATAGTGAGACCCTATCTCAAAACACGAGGTGGGCAGACATCTTTGTGTCCACACGTTCACTCACCTACCCATTTATCCATTATCTGTCATTCATCAAACACCTGTTCAGCACATACCTTGTGCCATGAGTCAAGTCATAGGTCACACCCTCCCCTAACTTGGAGGAGTTCCTGGCTGGGGTAGGGGGGCACAGTGACAATACAGTGTGATAAGTACTGTCACTGAGAAGCCAAGGAAGGCAGTGTTGAGTGACACACAGAGGGAAGATGCGAGGACTAGGGGCAGGAAGCCTGAGAAGATGGGGAAGCTGCCACTGGAAATGGCCCTGGAGCGTGAGTAGGGCTTCTTCAGGTCCCAAGACAGAAGAGGCACCTGCGGCAGGAGAACGCAGGCAGACACCTGGAGCCTGAAGGTGTCCTTGAGCCGTGACGGACTGGAGCTGGCTTAGCAATCACAGTGGGCCGGGCTGTGCTCCTGGAAGTTGAGACCAAGGCTCACACTCGGGTTGTGGTTGTGCCCTGCCCCAGCCCGCCTCCTGCCTACAGTAGAACCGCACACAGGAGCAAATGCCTAATGGATGTTTAAATAATGAAAGTGCATGAACTGAGCGGATGCGTACTGTCTGCCGAGCACCCTGTACACACCTCGGTAGTCTCTACAGCTACCCTGTTTACAGCAGAGGAAACTGAGGTTTGGAGAGGAAATGGAGGATTCCTGAAGAGCTGTGACTCAGACCTCGGTCTGACTCTGTGCTCTCACTCTGGGCTTGTGCTGGGCACAGCGTGCCGGGGGCTCCCAGCTCTCCATTTGAAATTGGCCGCCCCTGGTAATTCCATTTGATTCCCAAAACACTTCAGGTCTCTCCCCAACCCATCCCCTCCCTGCAGGGGCCAGTAGTCGGCCCACAGGTTGAGTGCAAGGCCAGCTGTGGGACAGGCTGCAGTGGGATCTGGTCCCACTGTGGGGAAGGGACCCGAAGCAGGCCTCAGAACAGCACGGCAGCATTAGGAAGGAGGGAAGGACGCGACGAGGTAGAGGAATGACCAGTGCAGGCCTCTGAGGCTCACAGGGCGCTGGCTCTCAGCTCAGATGAGGGATGCTGAGCCAGAGGGCGATGCTCACGTTTTTCCTATCCTTTCGTATAGAAACTCATCCAAGAATGTCTCGAGCATTTGGCAACCAAGAAGCAGCAGCACATGGGCAGTATAACCCAGATAGAAGGTGCCGCGGAGAAGCTCAAGGCAAGTGGCATTTCCTCCCTACTTCAGGGCAGATGTCCACACTCCCGCCCCCAAGACGGGTGCCCCAGGGCGGAGGCTCAGAGGGCACTCAAGGCCCGGGGGTTCTAGAATTCAGAGGCCCTTTTTGAGAAAAAGTATGCAAAATTACAAATTCCAGTGCAAGACCGTGAAGAGGGCGTGTAAGTGAGGGACCCGAGGCTCCTGTTCCCTCAGCCCTGTGGAGACTCGGCCTTTGCCCAGCACCCCAGCCCCGAGCTACTGCCCCACAAAGTGAGGAAGATCGGCCTTTTCTCCCACCGTGCCCCACCAAGACCCTGCATCGCGTCGGTCTTGGAGGAGACAATCCGTCATCCCCCGAGTCCCAGGTTGCCATAAACAAAGCAAAAGACAGCTTTGTGGCACGCAAATAGCTCTGAAAGTTTTCCAGCCAGGAAGGACATTACATAGGCTATAAATATATTACGTTAACATTTCCTTCAGGCTTCTACTTTCAGATAATGTTTGTCTAAATGAATTTTTTGGGAGTCTTGCTGGAAGTTAGGGCTGACATTTTTGTGAGTCACCATTCTGAGGAAGTCACTGCATCTTTCAGCTTTCTGTGGGGACTCAAGCTGCTCCCCTTTTCCTCTTGGCCCCAGCTGCTGCCTCCCCACAGTGAGAGCTGGAGTAGGACGTCCCCCAGGGCCTGCCCCACTCAACCCATGAGTGACCCACACACGGCAGGTAGGAGGTCTGGCTATGGCCGTGGGAAAAGTGGGCACAGGTCTCCCCAAGACCAACCTCAGAGTGGGACCCCATTGTGTGCTGGGGCTCGGGCCAGGCCATGGAATTGACTCCCTTGTTTGCCTGACTTCCCTTATCCGTGAGGTAGCTACATGCCCTGATGTACTGGAGACCTTGGTTTACACCCACAAAGTAGCCCCAGCTTAATTATTAATAGTATTTCTCCTGTTGTCAAGAGCAGGACTCTAGGCTCAGGAAGGTAAATTAGTGCAAAAGGACTTGGTAAATAAAAACTGGCAGGTCGGAAAGTGACTCCTCCAAGAGATGAAAGAGATACCCAGACTGCTCAGCTTGAAGAGCAGTAGAGGCATAGGACCACTGTCTACAGGTATCTGACCAGCCAGGCATGGCGGTACCCGCCCGTAATCCCAGCACTCGGGAGGCTGAGGCAGGAGGAGTGTTGCGAGTTCAAGACCAGCCTGGGCTACAAAGTGAGCGCAAGGCCAGCCTGAACTGCACAGCGAGACCTTGTCTCAAAAAGACAAATAAATAAATATATATCTGACCAGATATGGTTTGGGGACCCCCAGGGGAAGTGTTGGGACCGGTATGGAGGGCCTAAGGCAAGGACAGGGCAGGTTTTAGCAACTTTTTAACTTTTTACTTTGTTTTTTTGGGTTTTTTTGCTTTTTCTCTGGAACCGGGAATCGAACTCACTACCTCACGCTTGCCAGGCAGGTGCTATGCTGCTGAGCTAAATCCCCAGCCCTTAACTTTTTACTTTGAAATAATTATAGAGTCACAAAAAACTGCAAAGATCAAATAGAGAAGATCTGAGTACCTTTACTTTATTTCCCTTGAGGGTTACATCTTAACTGTATATAGTACAGTGTTAAAACAGAGATTGACAGTATCTTTGTTAGAATTACATAACCATTGGTTTTATATCTTACATTTATTTTTATAATACATTTAATAGTTTACATTTAGCCAGGCGTGGTGGCGCACGCCTGTAATGCCAGCACTCGGGAGGTTGAGGCAGGAGAATCGTTGCAAGTTGGAGACCAGCCTGGGCTGCAAAGTGAGCTCAAGGCCAGCCTGAACTGCATAGTGAGACCCTGTCTCAAAAAGACAGAAAAAAAGAAAAGTTTACATTTTACCTAGGTGTAGTGGTATGTGCTTGTAATCCCAGCTACTCAGGAGACTGAGGCAGAAGGATCAAAAGTTTTGAGGCCAGCCAGAACAACTTAGCAAGACCCTATTTTAAAATAAAAAGGGCTGGGAATATAATTCAGTGGTAAAGCACTTGCCTAGCATGCACAAGGCCTTCGTTTCATCCCCAATACTGCAAAAATAATTAATTAATTAATTGATATATATTATTTACACCAGGTGGCCATAGTTGTGTAGGGCTAGGTCCAAGTTCTTTATTCTGTGTCTGTCTCTCTACCAATATTACACAATTATAATTACTGTAGATGATAATAGATTTTAAGAATAACTGAGGCCTCCTCCCTTTTTTTTTTTTACAAACTGGGGACTGAACTCAGGACCTTTGCTACATCCTCAACCCTTTTTTTTTTGAGACAGGGTCTTACTGAGTTGTTGGGATAGGGTGAAATTTACAGTCCTTCTGCCTTACCCTCCCAGAGTGCTGAGATTATAGGTGTATGCCACCATATCCAGCTTTTTCCAAAATTATTTTAGCTCTTCTAGTTTTTTTGCCTTTCCATTTAAATTTAAGGATAATCTTGTGTATATCTATAAGAAAAAGATTTTGTTGGAATTTTGATAGGAATTGTGTTAAATTTGTGTCAGTTTGGGGAGAGTTGCCCTCTTCACTGTATTGAGTCTCCCATCTATGACCATGGTATGCCTCTTTATTTACATATTTGTTGTCTTTTATTGGTACTGGTAGTTTTCACCAAATAAGTCTTGTACATATTTTGTTAGACTTACACGCAAGTATTCCTCAGAAGGTAAAAGAAAACAGGAAAAAAAAAATGAAGGAAAATTGGAGCTAGTGGTCAGCACTTTGTTTTTGTTTTTGAGACAGGGTCTCACTGTATAGTGTAGGCTGGCCTGAAGTTCACTATGTAACCAAGGCTGGCCTTAACCTCACAGTGATCCTCCTGCCTCAGCCCTCTGGCTCACCACCACACCCAGACGTGGTCAGCATTTTAAAGCTGGAAAGTATTTGCATAAAAATTTGGGTTAGAAAGGTGGGAAGATATTGCCACCTTCTTCCTGCATCCTCTGGCCTCAGCCTCCCGGTGCTGCTGGGATTATAGGGAGGCACCGCCAGACCCAGCACAGACCCGTTTTGTATTAATTTTGCAGTTCCAGTAATTCAGGCTTGAAGTCTGTGTTATGGCTGCCTGTTTTTTGTTTTTTTTCCAGTACCAGGAATCGAAATCACGACCATGAGCTTGCCAGGCAGGCACTGTGCCGCTGAGCTAAACCCCCAGCCCCATGGTTGCCTGTTTGTTCTCTTGTTTTGCTGATGGTTCTCTTTTCACTTAGAAGATCCTAGATGGATGGCCAGATTCCTTGCCCTTTCTCTGGGCCAGTGGGTAGAATTTTCCTGGTCTTGAGCTCACAGATGGAGCAGTGGCTCCATGACTGTGGCTTCGTGCGTGTCACCCCCCTCACTCTCCCAGCTGAAATGGAGCCAAGTGCCCTAAGCTGCCCCAGAGTGACCAGGCCCACTGCAGTGTGGCTCTTACCTGCACAGCTCCAACTCCACCTCTGCCAGGGTCACCTGACTTCAGCTTCATCTCCTGTCCCTACCACTGACGCTGAGTCTCGCTATGTCACTACTAAGTTGCCCGATCCAGGCTCCAATTTGGGATCCTTCTGCCTCAGCCTCTCAGATGACAGGCATATACTACCATGCCTGGCTGTGTCATTAGCATTTCTATGTGTTTGAAGAAGGAAGGAGGATTTTCCATGTAAGCTCCTTTTCCTTTTTTTTTTTTTTTTGGTACTGGGAATTGAACTCAGGACCTTGCACTTGCCAGATAAGCATTTATGCCATTGAGCTATATCCCCGGCTCCCTCCCCCCACTTCTTTTTTAAGGTACTGAGGATTGAAATCCAAAACCTTTTACATTTGAGGCAAGCACTCTATCACTGAGCTATACCTCTAGCCCTCCTTCTCCTTTATTGATTTTTGTTTGTTTGTTTTTTTCCGGTACCGGGAATTGAACTCATGAACTTGCGCTTGCCAGGCAGGTGCTGTGCCACTGAGCTAAATCCCCAGCTCCCTCCTTCTCCTTTATTGAGCAAAAACTACATGTCACTTTGTATATGTTGTTTACTTGCTTAAAAAATTTCTTTATTAAAATATTATTTGTCAAGCTGGTCATGGCGGCCCACACCTGTAATCCCAGCACTCAGGAGGTTGAGGCAGGAGGATCATTGTGAGTTTGAGGCCACCCTGGGCTACAAAGTGAGCTCAAGGCCAGCCTGAACTATATAGCAAGATGCTGTCTCAAAAAGGCAAAAACTGGGTGACTATTATAAAATAATCTTACAATAAAAAAAGACAAAATAAATTTGTCAATGTCAATATATATATATATATATATATATATTTTTTTTTTTTTTTTTTATATGGGGTCTTGCTCTGTTGTCCAGCCTGACCTTGAACTGCTGGACTCAAGCAGTCCTCTTGCCTCAGCCTCTTGATGAGCTGGGACTATGGGTGTGCACCACCATGCCTTGCCTAGGCACCTCATATATCTAAGCGCCTTTCAGCTCTGACAGCTTGTGCACATTCTAAGTCTCTAACTACGGCTAGATTCAACAGACAGTAACAGTTTATTGTCACCTTGATTCATTTCCTGCAGAACCCACGCCTGGAAGTGCCACGTTTACGATGGGCACAGATCTGTGGGGTGACCCGAGTGCTGCTAGGCCACCTGCTGAACTTGCCATGCTGCTCCATACTTACTTACACAGCGTCTGCCCTCCGGAAAAGGCCATGTGCATGGAAACTAACCCATAAAACAGCTTTGTAAACAGATCAATAAAGTCCGTACATGGTCTGAAGTCCCTTATGCAGAAGCCAATGAGCAAGCCTGATCAACCACACCTTTTCAGAGGCCAAATGGGCCTTCCTGACCAACACCCATTAAATGATTCCCTCTTATATCCTTCACTTTTTTCTTTTTTCTTTTTTGGTACCAGGAATCAAACTCAGGACCTCGCACTTGCCAGGCAGGCACTTGTGCCACTGAGCTATATCCCTGGCCCTCTTATATCCTCGCTAGCAGGCTGTCTGCTTACAAGCCTGACAGTCCAGACCGTCTATCCCCTCCTTACGGGCCAACACGCACAGGTGCAGGGAAAACCCAGCACTCACTGGCAGCTTGGACTTGGTATTTAGACTGAGGTTAGATGACTACAGCAGAGAAACTATGTCCTTTCTAAATCTTCCACATATTTGGCAATGATCTTCTGATATTTTTATCAATCAAAATAGAGGGGATATGTTTGTACGTATATAGGTGTACGTGCACATAGGCGCTTATTCCTATGTATTACGATTGGCTGCTGTCTGTTACTTCGAGGCAGGTAAGGGTGCAGAATGCGCACAGGCTGCAGAGCTGAAAGGACTCCCGTCTGTGAGGGTGCCTGGGCCGGCACGGCGGTGCACACCGGTAGTCGCAGCTACTCTGCAACTCGCTCCTTTTCACGGGTGCCTTGAAGAGCTTTCCTTACCAGCACATTCTCCCCGCTTTGGGATTGTTTTATGGTGGTAAAATATACATAACAGAGAATTAGCTGTTTTTAGCTCTTTTTAAGTGTTGTTCAGAGGCATTAATTATATTCACAATGGTGTACAGTCATCACCATTATCCACTTCTAGAACTTTTTCATTACCCCAAAGAAAGACTCTGAAACCACAGAGCACTCCTATCCCAACCCCCTTCCCCCAGCCCCTGGTCACATCTACTCCACTTTCTGTATCCACGAATTTACCTGTCCTAGATATTTTGTTTAAGTGTCACCATGCATTATTTCTCCTTCTGGATTTAGCCCATTTCACTTAGGATAATGTTTTCCAGGTTCATCCAGGTTGTAGCATGTGTCAGAACACTGCATGCTTTTTTGTTATAAATTATTTCGTTGTAGCTGGGTGTGGTAGCGCATGCCTATAATCCTAGCATTCGAGAGGTTGAGGCAGGAGAATTGCCACAAGTTTGGGATCAGCCTGGGCTACATAGTGAGTTCAAGGCCAGCCTGAATTACAGAGCAAGACTTTGTCTCAAAAAAAAAAAATTATTTTACTGTATGAATGTAGCATAATTTATATAACTAATACACATGCATGTCCCATATGGAAAAGTATGCCCAACTATCCTCTGTTCTGTATATATAAATGCCACAGTGACAATTTTGGTACCCAAATCTTGATGCACATGTGAATGTTTTTTCTAAGACTGGTTCCTATATGAGGAAATAACATCTTTAAAAAAGTAATGAATTTTCCTAGTGAGGAATATTGTTTTTACCTTCCATGTAGTCGGGGCTTTTTTGTGCATCTTTCAGTATAATTTTATACTTTTCCTTATTTAGGTCATTCACATTTTTGTTAGATTTATTCTTAGAGATTTTGCTACTTCCTTCCTCATTTTAGGAAGAATCTGTGTTTGTCCATGCATTTTCTGGTCAGCAATGGCCAGTATTTAGAAAACCTCAGGATTTTACAAGTTGATCTTATATCTGACTGCCCACCTTGTTGAACTTGCTTTGTAGATGTTATAATCTTTTTCATATCAATCATCCTGTATTTCCTTGCTGGAAAACTCAGCACCTGCAACTGGTTTTCTTTTTAGGCTCATGCAGAGTCAAGTAAAGCCTGGCTGAAGGAGAAGTTCACTGGGCTCAGATTGCTACTCGATGAAGAGGAAGTGTTGGCCAAAAAATTCGTAGATAAAAACATGCAGCTTGCCCTGCAGGCATATGGGGAGCAAGTTGAGTCTTGTAAGAAGCAAGCTGACATCATGAATGATCTCTCCAGCAGGGTCTGGAGTATTGGCCAGGAGCCCAACCCTATCCAGCTGCTGCAGGTGATGTTGGGGTTTCTGTTCTTACTGCTGCCACCTGCCACAACACCCCATCGTGGTTACTATGGCACTGAACACAGTGTTCATGTGACAAGTAAAATGCACAGATATTTGCTTTATCAACACAGACTTTCTCTAGCTGGGCGTGGTAGTGCATACCTGTAATCCCAGCACTTGGGAGCTGAGGCAGGTAGACCACTGTGAGTTCGAGGCCAGCCTGGGCTATAGAGTGAATTCATAGCCAGCCTGAACTACAGAGTGAGATCCTGTCAAAAAGAAAAAAAAAAAAAAGTGGCCAGAGAATATACATCGTTAGGAAGACTATATATATCTTGGGCTAATTAAATAACTTAAAAGTCACCATTTTCAAAGGCTTCTGTGCTGAGAGCATTTTAAGTATCTTAGCTCTGATATTCAGTAGAATTCTGTGAAGAGGATATTCTCACCCCATTTTGTGCATGAGAACTTAGGGTTCAGGTTGGTGAAGTGACTCCCCAGGCTCACACAGCTGGAAGGTGGCAGAGCTGAGAGCAGAACCTGGGTCTGTCTGGCTCTAAACCCATAAGGCAGCTTGCCTGGCCCTTTGCTTGTAGAATCTTAATCAAGACACACACACATACCCGGGCGGGGGATATAGCTGAGCAGCCCAAGCACCTGCCTGGCAAGTGTAAGGTCCTGAGTTCAATCCCCAGTACCAAAAAAAGGAGCTCATACAGGGCTGCGGAGACACACTTAGAGTTATTTACAGAAGAGCTCAAGCAAGCTAGCACAAGTGCATACAACAAATACCTAACTCTCTATAAGGAGAGGTGTCCTGGAAGACTTCTAGGAGGCAACGTGGAGCTGAGTACGGGAAGAAGAGTATGTACAGAGGGACACAGCAGAGAGGACGTCCCAGGCAGGAAGGAACTATGGACATGTGAGGGCTCAGCAGGCTGGAGAACTCCCTGAGGTCGGCCCGCCCAGAGGAAGAGTGGGTGAGGGCAGGTCAGTTCGCGCAGCGCCACATACGCCAGGCCATAGGTTTAGACTTTGTCCTGTACAGTGACGGGATCTGGGAGAGTATGCTTTTTGTAGGCAGCTGTGTTAGACAGAAATATTATAAGCAGTCAGACAGGGCTAGGCCTTCCAAGGAGCCAGTATGGAAGACAAGATACCTTGCAACAGGGCAGGACAAGGAGCGCCTAGGATGGATACTACAATTCCTAGTCCCCAACAATGGACACAGTCAGGTTACTGCTGGAGAAAGGTCATATTGGTGACAGGACAAGGGTTGCCCTGGGAGACCGCGTGGTCCAAGAGAGAGAGATGGTAGTGGTCTGGACCTGGGTGGAGGTAGCAGGAGAGGTGCGGAACAGGAAGGTTCAGACATACAGTAGGAATGGAGACCGGAGCTGGGGGGTGAGAGGCAAAATCCAAGATGGTGCTCAGTTTCTGGTTTGCACGATGCGAGCTGTTCTCTGCATCAGCAAAGGTAGGAAGCAGATGTACTTGATTACACCCTCACATTTGTTCCATCATACCTGTGTTGAGAACCTACTGATACAGCGGAAAGGAACTCCCAACCTGCTACGTGTCTGAAATGCTGAGTTCGTGTTTTCTAAAATAGAGGAATGAATTCTAGGAACAACAGAGGTTAAGAGTAGGAAGAATTTATTGAGAGAAAAAAGCTTCTGTCTGACAGGGATAGAAGGGGGCCTGGAAAGTGGGTTGCCTCCCGACCCGCTTCTCAGGGGTATTTTACTGAGCAAAGCCCTGAGGTGAGGTGGGTTCAAGGTAAGACAAAAGTATAACCAGTCCATAAGATTACAAGCATAGTTGCTTAGGTAGTATTGTCCAATGGAAAATCATGAGTGTTGTGAGGTGGTACAAAATTATGTTCAACCAGTGGGATTATGAGTGCTGGGTGTGGTGATGCATACTTGTAATCCCGGCACTGGGGAGACTAAGACAGGAGGGTCATTGTGAGTTCGAGACCATCCTGGGCTACAAAGTGAGCTAAAGACCAGCCTGAACTGCATAGCGAGACTGTCTCAAAAGGACAAAAACAAACAAATAAACAAACAAAAACAACAAGTATAGTTGCTTGGATAGTATTGATTAAAAGGGGATAAAATTGGGAAGCAGATCACGTAGCAAGCACACAAGGGAAGGACAGGGACTTCCCTGGAAGGGGTGGGTTAAGGAGGTTTGGTCCTCCACCCCAAGGTGATTGATGCCTACTTAGAATATCAATCACTGTGTTCATCCCTGAGGGAAGTATAGGGGTGAGTAGTTCTTTTCTCTTGAAGCCTGGCCTTCAGTGAATATGCCTCCAGCCACAGTTGTCTTCTGCATTGACCTCAAGGGCTCAGCCTGTCTGACTGCCTACCGTATTTCTACCTAATTTAGCTGTCTATGATACTACTGTGTGTCAGACACCTGGCCAGATGCTGGAGTTCAGGGTTCCCAGATGGTGGCATTTTCCTCTGTTGGCCCCCAGCCTCGCCCCATCTACCCAGGTGTCCCCTGAGCCAGCCTCCCACTTTCGTGGCTGCCAAGCGGGCTGGGAGAGTAAGTTTCCTGGCGCTAGCTTAGGGAAGCCACATTACTCAGTGTGGAAGGTGTGTTGTAGTCCCTCTAGAGCTGCTGGGGAGGGGGGCACAGTGGGCCTGGCAGCTGGCACGGGTCTACCTGCAGCCCCCTGGCGACCCTGACCCTGTGTCCTTCATACAGGCGTACACAGCCACTAAGCTGGAGATACAGCGGCACATGAGCCTCGGGGAGCTGAGCCACCCTGTGCCCCTGTCCTTTGAGCCTGTCAAGAGTTTCTTCAAGGACTTCACGGAAGCCATGCAGAGCACGTTACAGATACCACTGGATGTTCGCCTGAAGGAAAGTGAGTGGGCATGCGACCCTTGTGGGTCCTCACCTCCCTTAGTCCCTGTATCCCAGACGCAGCTGCAGAGGTGCCACCCAAAGTCATGTCTCTCCCACACAGAGGCCCTTGGCTGGCTGGTCAAGGGCTCCTAGGCCTGGTGCTCAATCCACTTTATGACCTCCGGTATCACCTTTTACCCTTCCTGAGGCGCGTCTTGCCAGCCGAATGGCTCTGTTTCTGACCAGACCATTCCTAGAGCCTGACACGCCTCTAGGATCTGAGAGGATCCTAGGTTCCTCTTCCTCTACCTGGAGCCGGTTGACCATCATGCCAGGCAGGCTGGCACCGCTGGTTCTGCTCACCCCCCCCTGACCGCCTCCCTCCTCCCTCCCTTCCTACTGCAGGGCCTGCCTGGGGTATGGGTGAGATGGACACAAGTGTCTCTCCTTGCCCCTTGCAAATGTCTGGACAGTGGGTCCAGTTCTGACATGCTCATGGGGCCTGCACAGAGCAGGTACCCAAAACTCTCTCCTTAGCTGGGCATAGTGGCTCATGCCTTTAATCCCAACCCTCGGGAGGCAGAGGCAGGATGATTGCCACAAATCTGAGGCCAGCCTGAGCTATGTAGTGAACTCAAGGCCGACCTGAACTATGCAGCGAGACCTTGTCTCAAAAAACCAAAACCAGAAATCTCTGCTCCTTGATTCCTTCATTTGTTCACCTCCACTGCGAGCATTCACTCAGACCGCTGAGCCCCTGTTGTGTGCCGGTGTGAAACAGAGCCCGCAGACTTGGAGGGACAGCCAGCAGGCACACGTGTGTCAGGACGGAAACTGCTGTGAGGCAGACAGGGTGGGAGAGCGGATGGTGACAATGAGGAGAAACCTCCATCCAGGGCAGCCGGCCAGGCCTCTCTGAGAAGAGGGCAGTGAGCTGAGCAAAAGGTGCACTCCGCAGGCTCCACAGCACCAAGGGCAGGAGAGCACAGTGGTCACGTGCATGGCTGTGAAGCCAGAACAACACCTGGGGCAACAAACCTCACTTTTCTAGGCCTCTTTCCACATGTGTATCATGGAAGAGATTATGGAGCGTCCTCTTGGGAATTGTAGGGAACAGATGAGTTCTTGTATATAAGGGCCCAGGTATAATCAGCACCATGTGTTAGCGGCTATCACTGTTGCTGTTTCCTTGGGGCAAATGTATTCTAGGCAAAGGGTGAAGCAAGTGCAAAGGTCCAGAGGCCAGGTGAGAGTGGGCATGGCATGCAGAAGGAATAGCAAAGGGTTAGTTAAGAGGAATGAATGTGCAGTGGAGGAGGTAGGGGAAGAGACAGAGCCATCTGGAGGCACAAGCATTTGGTCTTGAGCAGCTGGAAGAAGGAAGGTGTCATTTTCCGAAAAGGGAAGGGGTCGGAAGAAAAGACTGGACCTGTTGGGTGTGAGGAGCTTGCCCATGTGGTGATCTCACACAGGCAATAGGATCGATGATTCTAGAGCTCTGGGGAGATGCCCTTGCCTGAGAGTGGCCTCCCACATTTCATCCCTAGGCCGTGCAGTGAAGATGTGGGTGGGGAACGGGCGCCTTCAGGCCCTGGCCCGGGAGATGACAAACCGCAGCCCAAGCAGCTGGGAAAGCAGCTACATGGGTGGGGCCCAGGGGAGGGTTCCAGGTAGGGACAGCGATGCCAAGGGCCCAAGTGCTCCGAGTAGCCCTCCCGCTGGGCGACTGCCCATCTCTTTCTCTTCCTCTTCCTGAGAACAGGCTGCCTCCCACCCAGGTGTTTGATCCCGGGCTCCTCCTCACATCCAGGACCGGAACACTGCCTGCCACTGCTTGTTGTTCCGGAGTTTTGCGTTGCTGTGAATTTACATTTCCTACTTAAATTTGCATGGGATGCTTTGGAAGAGAGTATGCAAATGTTCGGTTTTGTATTATATTTAGTATGTTTTATTTGTGTTGCCTGCATGTGCTCCAGGCATTAATTTCTCGAAATTCCCCACAGACTTGAAATGCCAGCTGTCCAGCTCCTCCAGCACCAAGCCAGGTACCTTGCTGAAAACAAGTCCCTCACCAGAGAGATCGCTCCTCTTAAAATGTAAGACCCTGGGAGTGAGAGCGGACAGGGTGGATGCAGAGGCAGAGGAAGGCCGTGGGAATGGTAGCCCCTCCCCTTTGAGTACAACACCTTTTGGGGGGGTTTTTAAAAACTTTTGAGGCGGCATGTTTTGGCGCATGCCTATGATCGCAGCACTCTGCAAGGCCACGGCGGAAGGGTCCCGTCAAAGGCCGTACAGATGAAACACCGTTCTGGGCGTGGTGCGCATGCGTATAAGTCAGCATTGCAGGAGGCTGAGGAAGGATTGCAAATTTGAGTTTGGGGATTGCCTGGGCAATTTAGCAAGACTTTGTCTCAGAAAATAAAAAAAGCCTGAGGATGTAGCTCAGTAAGTGATCCCTATGACTGCAAAAAAGCCTTTTTTTTTTTTTTTTTTTTTTTTTTGGTATTGGAAATCAAATTCAGGACCTTGTGCTTTCCAGGCAGGCGCTGTGCCACTGAGCTATATCCCTGGCCCTTTTTTTGTTTGTTTAAGTCTTAGTCTTTTATTTTATTTTTTTATTTTTTTGAGGCAAGGTCTTGCTTTGTAGTGCAGGCTGGCTTTGAGCTCACTATGTAGCCCAGGCTGGACTTAAACTCATAGTGATTCTCCTGCCTCAGCCTCCAAGTGCTGGGATTAGAGGCATGGGCCACTATGCCAAATTCAGTCATAGTCTTTAATAATACATGTTCACTGTAGAAAAATTAGATAACAAAGGAAAGAATGCTCATAATCTCCATATTTTAAATTTTGTTTTTTGAGACAGGGTCTTGCTGTGTAGCCCAGGGTGGTCTTGAACTCACTATGCAGCCCAGGCTTCCTCAGATTCATCACAGTCCTCCTGCTCAGCCTCCTGAGTGCTGGGATTACAAGCATGCACCACCACATCCAGCCAGTTTGCTATTATTACTTGTACTTTTTAGCTCCTTTTTTGCATAGCTAATATACATATAATGACATACTTAAGGTATCTTTTTTCTTTTTCTTTTTTTTTTTGGGTATCTTTTTTCAAACATGGTATCATATTATACATAGTTTTATGATCTGTGTTTTCATTTACTGTTGTGAACATTTTAGTTCCCTGAAAAATTAGAGAGGTGGGGGCTGGAGGTGTAGCTCAGTGGTAGAACACTGGCCTAGCATGTGCAAGGTCCTGGGTTTGATCCCCAGCAATGGCAGATAAGAGAAGAGAGGATAAGACAAGATAAGATAAGATGATGAGATACTAAAAACAGTTCTGCCAGACACCAGCACTTGGGAGGCTGAGTCAGAAAGATCCTCAGGAGTTCATGGCCAGCCTGTCTCAAAAAAACAAAAAAACAATTACAGTTCTGTGGGATAGAAGTCCAACACAAATCTCACTGACAAAAATCAAGGCTGGTAAAAAAAAAAAAAAAAAATTAAGGCTAGTTTCTTTTCTGGGGCCCCTAAAGATAAACCCATTTCCTTGCCCTGTCCGGCTAGGAAGCTGCCCGCATTTCTTGGCTCCTGGTCCTTCCCTCCTTTTCAAAGCCAGCAACGATCCATCTCTGGTCATTTTTCCATAGTCACAGCTCCATCCAACTCTCCACTCCTGCTTCCTTTCACTTTTAAGGACTCCTGTGATTCCACTGGACCCAGGTTGATAATCCAGACTCCTTTCCCTTTCTCAAAGTCCACTGATCAGCAGCCTTCATTCCTCTTTGCCAAGTAGTCTAACATAGTCACAAATTCTGGAGATTAGGATGTAGACAATTTAGGGGAGCATTATTCAGCATACCTCATTCATTATTGATGAATATGAGCTCTTCCCATCAATCTTGAAATTTGATTGTAATCCTATCCACAATGTCAGAGTTTTTGTGTGACAAACTGACTATAAAATGTATATATGGCTGGGCATAGTGGCACTTGCCTGTAATCTCAGTATTCAGGAGGCTGAGGCAGGAGGATCACTATAATCAAAGCTAGCCTGAACTACATATAGAGAGCCTGTTTCAAAAAAAAAAGTATATAGACATAAAAGTGTAGAAAATAGCGAAGACTGTCTTGGAGAAGAACAAAATAGAAAGTTCCTCTATGTGTGGTAGTACACGTGTCCAATTCCAGATACACCAGAGGTGGAGGCAGGAGGACCCCAAGTTCAAGAACAGCCTGAGAAATTGAGCAAGACTCATTCTCAAAATAAAATGTTAAAAGGATGGGTGGTAGAGTGATTTCCCAGCATGCCTGAGGTTTTGGGTTCAGTCTCTAATGCCATGAATATACACACACAATTACTAAGATAGGCTTCAACAAATTAAAGTTTCTCCTTTGTGTGTGTGTGTGTGTGTGTGTGTGTGTGTGTGTTTGTGACAGGGTCTTGCTATGCAGTTCAGGCTGGTCTTAAGCTCACTTTGTAGCCCAGGCTGGTCTCGAACTTGCAATGATCCTCCTGCTTCAGCCTCCTGAGTGCTGGGATTACAGGCATGCACCACCACGCCTGGCTGAGACCCCGTTTTAAAATTAAAAAATAAAACTGGGCATGGTGGCGCACACCTGAAATCCCAGCACTCAGGAGGCTGAAGCAGGAGGATGTTGCGAGTTTGAGGACAGCCTGGGCTACAAAGTGAGCTCAAGGCCAGCCTGAACTGCATAGTGAGACTGTCTCAAAAAGACAAATAAATAAATAATTTAAAAAAGGGTTAGGGATGTAGCTCAGGAAAAAGTTTCAAAAAGGGGGTTGCAGCTGGGGATGTAGCTCAGTGTGAAGGCTCTGGGTTCAACCCCCAGTGCCTATGTAAGTAAAACCGAATATTCACTTATATTATGACCCAGACTTTAAAAAAAAAACAAAACTTGGTGTCTACATACATGTTAAGAGAAGTGTTAATGGGGATTTAAACCACTACTTTTCTGGAGAACAATTCAGCAGTATGTGTCAAAGGCATTAGAAACACACCCATTGACCCACTGGCCTAGTAATTTTTCTTTTAGAACTATATATCCTAAAAAAGGGCTGATTCTAATTTAATTTTTTTTTTTTT